CGACAAACATTGAATGCTGTTAGTAAACTACTTCAATAAGATTAGCACGACAAACATTGAATGCTGTCAGTAAACTACTTCAATAAGATTAGCACTACAACACGAAAAACATTCAATGCTGTCAGTAAACTACTTCAATAAGATTGGCACTACAACACGAAAAACATTGAATGCTGTCAGTAAACTACTTCAATAAGATTAGCACGACAAACATTGGTATATGGGTGTGTTGGGTTAAGGATTCTTCTACAGTAGGTGTCTGTGACTTGTTGGCGATAAATTAAAAATCAACGAATAGCACTTACTGCACTTGTTTTCAAAATATTATATATATTCGGAACTAGTTAAACGTATGTACAACAAATTTTTTACACTATAGAAATTATAGGCATATTATAAACACTATATATGTAGTTCTCTTCTTGTTGTCAAAAGTCCACTTAGGCCTGTTCAATTGCTTTAGAATTTCAGTCGACAAGCCGAACTATTTCTTCTCAGTTACTATCGCCAAACTATCCGAGTATAGTTCACTTACTTTATGGTTCAGTTACCACGGTTGTATCTTATACTTCTAAAATCGTCTGCTCCTTTTTCTCTCTTTGTTTTTCCAAGAATCGTCTGTCTAACTGTCCAAGTCCACTGAGGCTAGTTCGATTACTTTAAAACACTATTTCACGAAACATACTATTCTTCTTATCTCTTTAAACACCGTTAGTCTCACTCTGATATATCAACCGTTAGGCCTTCCATTCCTACGACGATTAACTTTGTGTTTATCTTTTCTTTGGTCGAATTCCTTCTCGTAATTTTACTTTACTTATCGTCTGCTCTGTCTGTCTACTTTCCCGCTCATCTCACAATATTTATATGCTTATTACTTCATCGTCTGCTCGCAGAATTATGGACATCAATAAATTTCACGCGACGTTCAATAATTTCTACATCAATGAGTTACAAACACAACGTACGACTCTTACCGAGTTACGTAACTAAACTTTTCATAATATTTACTTTAAAATAATTGCTTCGAACTTTTATATTATGACAAGGCACGTGGATTGACAGCATTGAATATTTCTCGTGCTGTAGTGCTAATCTTATTGAAGTAGTTTACTGACAGCATTCTATATATAATAAAAAAAAGTAAGTTTCTTGACATGCCTCAATAAGATTAGCAAACATTCAATGCTGTCAGTTTTGTGTATTGCTCGGTATTAGTGTCATGTTGATACCATGATTTACGGCATGTTCCCACGACACAACAAATCAGCCGGCCCGTTACAATAGTTTATTGAGAACTTTACATTACAGGCATGATTAGACGTGAAGCTCCTGTACTTTATACGCCAACATTCAAGTTATGTTTAGACGTGAAGCTCCTGCACATTTATACGCCAACATTCAAGTTATGTTTAGACGTGAAGCTCCTGCATCTTTATACGCCAACATTCAAGTTATGTTTAGACGTGAAGCTCCTGTAACTTTATACGCCAACATTCAAATTTTGGTTGATGGTGGGCAATGCGCCCAAATTGGGGTTTGTTACGGTATTAAAAGATACTTCATTTCCAAGTATCATAAATACCGATTACTTTAAAACAAATTGATCACACTGATCAACCAGTACTCCCATAGTCTATTTTGGGAAATATCAGAGAATGAAAGATGATTGTCCCATAGTTTTCTAATATTTCTACTTATAATAGTTTTCAATACGGTATACAGCGGTAAGTTTACGGACTCGGTGATTCACCGCAGTGGATAGAAAGCAGGTAGCCCATTGTGTACCTTTGCACTAATAAAATAACAAAAACCATACTACAGTACAATAATTTCTCGTGTCACATGATTTTATGATAATATACACTCTCTCTCTGGCAAGTGTACAATACTTAACTTTTGTTATTATTATTTCCCTGTAAATTTAGGGGCCTGAATTAAATCAAAGCTTATGGCACGTTTGGAAGTATCCTCCATTATGGCTGTAATGGTGTGACATACTTGTTTTAATCAACGCCATATTATTTGAAACAGCAAAAAAGAACTTATAATGCAATTGTACAGTAATCTGCTTGGTTTAAACAGAAAGATTGATAATAATTATTAATATCCGTAAACACTACTGTTCACATAATAAATTACAGTATGTATAGATGTCGAGTACGTTATCTTTATACGATTTTGGAGCCTCACTATGTCGTTGGATGTTGCTATATCCGCCATACTCAGTCAGACGACTGTGCATCTTAAAAATAACCCTGCAGTATTTCCATTGCAGAAGGCTTATTCGCGAGGCTGTTGTATCCAAAGGACACCATTCCTTCTTGTAGATTTTCTGTAACCCATCTGTAGCACGAAGAGACGGTTTCCTAGTGCCAGTTTCAAGAGCCCAATCGAATTTTGTTTATCACGGCTGGGGGTACGACTTGTTGCAGGTTTCTTTCTGCATGTTCCTGGTACCCCTAATTTGTCTATTTACCTTTGTTTCCCAATACCATTAAGTGCACGAAATGTACCTCTTTGGAAATTTTCATCTTTATGGTCTGATTGTATGACTACTTTGCGTTGGAAAGGGCTGTTACATACCATTTCAAAAGCGGCCAATTTTCGTAGCATTAAACTATCTAAGAAACGCTACGCAATGTCCAAATATAGTTCTGATACATTCCGCACCATTACGACTTTATCAGCTACAGTTGTCACGTGGATTGCTGATTTGCATATTCAAAATAATTTTAATATAACACTCAACCTTGTATTTGGCGAATATGTTTTGAGTTCAAAAAATACAATATTATTGTTGTACTGAATTATTTCCATTTCTTCAGATCTTAGTTGAATGTGTTTAGGATTAGCTTTGTTGCTTATTTAGTTTAAATACCGTAGTCAATTTTATATCATAAATGATAAGCACTGTTGGAATGCTAAAAGCAAGTTTGATTCCTAAATATTTTCCAATTATGTTACCAGACGGCTTTATTTGACCCTATCGAGGTCAATTCGACTAAGATTTCTCAAAATTTTGTACAGATATTAAAACTCTTATAGCCGTATAGATACAACCTGCTAGTTTCTAGAAATATCTGATGAAAATAGAACCAAAAAGCGTACAGAATATATCGTCATGTGTAATCAGTGGCGTAAATAGATCTCAAAGGTCCCTGGGGTAAAAAACATCTCCCCCCCCCTAATTAAAACTATTTCAGTGTTAAAGAATTTTTTGGAGGATCCCTGGATGGCCTGGGTCCTTGGGCAAACTACCCCACATATCGCTACGCCACTGCGCCTAATATCTTGTATTTGCGTAATTCTTTTATGGATATCTTGTAGATTTGTCGCGTCTTTATATATGACGGTATTTGTTTTTTTTACGGTTTACACAACACACTATACAATTTATTGGTGTTTTGAAATGAGAAAAATTAAATACTCTGGTTGCTTTAAAAAAATTAATTGTTTTATAAATTTAAGTTTCCTCGTTTTCTAGTAAAAAACAAACTACTACCTGCCCCCCAGTGGCACAGCGGCATGTCTGCGGACTTACAACGCTAAAAACCGGGTTTCGATACCCGTGGTGGACAGAGCACAGATAGCCCTTGTGTAGCTTTGTGCATAATTAAAAACAGAACAAAACAAACAAACTACTACCTGCCCCCCAGTGGCACAGCGGTATGTCTGCGGACTTACAACGCTAAAACCGGGTTTCGATACCCGTGGTGGGCAGAGCACAGATAGCCCTTGTGTAGCTTTGTGCATAATTAAAAACAGAACAAAACAAACAAACTACTACCACTGATCTTTGGTGATATTTAAGATATAATAGTGACTTTTGTCAAAGCATGCGCATTATTTTTTTTGTCATTAGTATAATATTTGTGTTTTTCTATCGGTTTTCTACAGGAAGGAAGTAGCCGCACTTGGATTTTGCGTTTTGATAGACGATCATAACTCAGAAGCTTCTGATTGGACAACTTTAGATGAGGCTTTTTGTTTGGTTGAGGTGGGTTTAAAATTGCTTTATTTCTTAGTGCCACTTTAATATTCATGGGTTATCCATTGAGAATATTAAACCGCCGTGAAGTGGAAAAATATGCTGCGTTTCTAGTTGTGTGGATAATGTTACGAATTGCACGTTTGAAATTTTCTTTTTCTTTTCGCAGGCGAACGTTCCCAATATTATAAGTATTATTGTGGTGTGCACTGAAAATGAACCCAAAATCGAAGCAACGTCATTGTTTACAACTAGTGGATTTAAGGTAAAGAAAAAGTTCACATTTTTAAGAAGTAGGAGGAGAAAGATGAGGAGAAGGTATAATTTTGCTGACACATGGCAGTCCTGTAAGCAATCTTAATTAGTCACAGCTAGAACAAACCTACTAGTAACGGATGATCCCCATTTGCCCTGGGCTTCTTACTTAAGTGCTAAGTTAAAAAAAAATAAACTATCAATCAAATAAAATTAAGGTACAAGCTCACGTTTGGGGAGAAGAGGGTAGGCAGAATTTTTCTGGTTAAGAGCTGGCCGCAGACTGATAATTGCTAGATTCTCAAACCTTCAGTTGTGCATTATCTTCAGCTCTACCTAATAAGGGTGAAGTTGTTAACTTTAACTACAATGTTACCAGCTAGGTGTACTTGACGTATTTCCCATATTTTTAGAGTTTTTTGTTTGTTTGTTGTTGTTACATGTATATTTACAGGTGTATATATTTGTTTATTCTTTTTTTCCCTAGTATTTTGTTGTCGCAACTGTGGAAAAACTACACAGTTTTGTTCAACAGGACCAACTGCTTCCTCAGCATTCTGGTAGTTACAAATATAATCACCAGGAGTGGATTAGTTTCAGAATGGTAAAAAAAAGAAGTATTTTTTGCATCAAGATTTTAACGCTTGTCGGAATTTGAATCCAATCATTTAAAATCGAAATTGCCTGAATTATTCGAGTATATTATAATTTACGTGAAATTTAGAAATGAATAATTCCGTGTTAAGATGCAGTCTAATCATATAATAACTTGAAAACCTTTAATTATATGATCATTCAGTATCGAATTTATAAGTTCTGTTTTTACTTACAGTACTTATAATTTATTTAGTAAAATATTCCCGTGAAGACAGATCTGTGCTGTTATTTTTCTGTAGTTCCTGGAGCCCTTCATTAATGGCTGTCAGTTACTGGGTCGCCACCTAGTGACCGTCATGCAAGAGCTGCGAGGGAACAAACTTCCACCAACTGCTTCATTAACAAGCCAGATAATTGAACAAGAAAAAAGAATTATAAATCAGGCTTTTCAGGACGAACAATTGCGCCATCTAGTAGAGGAAGGAGATACTGTTTTAAAAGAATTGGAGTCGTACGGCAATAAAACCATGAATAATCTTGATTATAGGTATATATGTTTCTTTAATTGTTACGCATTATCATTTGAAATATGATTTGTCTTTATGGAAAAATACATTTCTAATTTTCTAAATTACTTTATGCAATAAATTCACAGCTAGAACATTAAATAAGAAACAAATAAATGGAATCTTCGGAAAAAAGAGGGAGAAATGTATAAAATTGAATGTTCTAAAGAAGAGAAATGTTATTTCAAAATATAAAGATAAAACTCTTTAAATTAAAACTAGTAATTTTGCATACAAGTTGAAATTTTCAACCTAACTGGTGCTTTGTAAGACAGATTGGCCTAAGAATCCGCTTCAGAGACCCCTCAAATTCAAGTACAGCCGTCCTTAATTTTGAAGTACTGCCAGAGAGAAGATAGCTAGCCATCAGCATACACCGCTCCAAGGGCTTTGTTCTGTTTTTGAAACTAATAATGAGATTGACTATTACGTGTATAACGCACCCACAGCTGAAATTGCGAAGAGGAGAATGTTAAGCATCTTCAGTTATCGAACTTCAGACTTTTAGATTCGTAGCCCAGTAAGCCAACCACTAGGCCACATCCGGCCCATACATAGTTCGTCTCTTTATGCCCCAGGCCTGGCATGGCCTAGTGATTAGGGCGCTCGACTCTCAACGTGCGTGTCGCGGGTTCGAATCTCCATCATCTAATATGCTCGCCCTTTCAGGCGTGGGGCGTTATAATGTTACGGTCTGTCCCACTATTTGTTGGTTAAAGAGTAGCCCAAGAGTTAACGTTGGGTGCTTTTGGCTAGCTTCCTTTCCTCTAGTCTATCACTGCTAAGTTAGGGAGAGCTAGCGCATATATTCCTGGTGTACATTTGCGCAAAATTCAAAACAAACAGCATCTGACCCTCCCAGATCCCGATTAAATTTTCCCGCTTCCCCCACTGCGAAGCAGAACGGGACATGTTGATTTGCACCTGTCCGTTCGTCCCAATCTTGTGGACGGGATGTCTAAAGGTTGGACAAATAGATTTTGACCAAACTTTTAAAACAGGTACTGCATGCAAAGTTCTAGACATTATTAACTTTTAAAAGGTCGTGAGTCAAAGTTGGGACACTGTGTTTTATAAACATAATTTGTACTTTAGTTTATTTTTATCGTCATGTTTCGGACATTGTAATCAGGAAGTTGTTATGTTTATTCACAAATAACATTTGAGTATTTCATGTAAATGGAATATTTGGCAACGCTATATTTTAATAAAGAGTATTATATGAGAAATATTTCGTTTGTGGTTAAGCACATAGCTACACAATGGGTTATCTACTCATCACGGGTATCGAAACCCGGTTTCTAGCGTTGTAAGTCCACAGACATACCGCTGAGCCACTGGCCATCAGAAATAAGAAAGCGACAAAGATTTCCTGATTTTATCTCGTGTAGCTGAGCATAAAGTTTTGAAGGTAGTAATTTCTTACTAAGTTTGGTACAATTCTTGTGAAATTGGAATCTTAAGACGTCTGTCAAAATAGAGTGAATTATAAAAAACCAACTCCCTCTCTCTGGTCACATTTAACAGGTTTTCACTGTTCGGTCGGGTCCGTCTGTTTGTGTAGCTGCAAACACGGTAGTCTGTTTTTTTTAGGGGGATTAAAAGTATTACACGTATACCATGGGGAGTAGACCATGATGACTTCTCAGACAGAATCGATTGTCAAGGCTGTTACGCTAAAAGTTTTTTGTCGTTCAATCTGGTGTTTCTCTAGTTGCAGTGTACAATCGGGATAATTAGTTTTCAACTTCAAGGATATCAGAGTACCATAACAATCTTAACATCGTCGAATATAGATAAACAATGTTCTTCTCACATCCAGATAAAGGTATATGTATTTCCGTAGCTAAACTTCACCATGTGTACAACTATATATATATACACTTATATTCGCTTAGCAATGCTACTTTGTTACTTTACAACGTACGTTCGTCAGTGTCTTTTTTTTAGCATATACAATTTATTTGAACGCTGGCTTATTTACTTACTAAACAAAAAATAGCACAAATAAGAACTTATTTTGTATATCTACCAACGTTTTCAATGTCATTGTAAAAGAACTTTATTAGAAAATTTCTTATTTAAATGTGGTTTAGTAGAATTCTTCGAAGCAGGTTCATCCCATCATTTGTCGATTAGCGAATAAACTCATTAAGATGACAGTCGGTCAGCAGAGGCTAAATTCCTAAAATTTCAGTGTTATCTTAATTTGGTTATAAATGAATTTGCGGTTGCTTCAGAGGAAATGTGGAAATGTTTACTTAACTCGTACCTTCAGAAAATTTAAGTCGGATATATAATCTTCTTACTAATACGGTTGTTATGTAAACTTTAATTCAAACACATTGGGTAAATAGAACAAAACGAGCTTCTCCCAGAAACGCAATATGGCTGAATGTAAGGTTTGGTGCTGATAAATCTAAGAATAACAAACGGAAGAAATTTCCAATACTACTTTTGATGAAATTAGGACCTTATTTACAAGTTTTCTATCAGCATTCTTTCACACATATTTTGTTATAAAACTAAGTGTATGTAAATTTTTTACCTTCTTATGTTACAATGGTTTTATGAGGTAGATACCACTAGTCTGTTGTATAGTTGAAACTGAATCAGGACTATGTATATATTAGGCTAACTCTTTTCCGTTCTACTACAGAATCGGTCTTAATTGAAAAGGGTGGTGTGGCCTAGTGTTTAACGTGGCTGACTTAGATCTGAGGGTCTATGGCTCGCATCCCGCTGTCGCCAAACAATTCGCATTTTGGGACTGTGTATGTGTTATAAGAGTTTGGGTGAAATCCAACTATTCGATTAGATTAGCTCAAGAATTGCTAGTGAGTTCATCTAGATGTCAGTTCATAATTAGGGACGCGGTTGGCGCAGTAAACGCTTGTGTGAATATACTTAAAGAAACATACTTAAATGAAAAACTGTTATTAAAAATAAGTTTTCAGAATGTCGTGATTGAACATGTTTCGTGCTAGAGTTTCGGCAACTCGACAAATAATACGCAAGAAGTTGATGAAGAACACAACTGTGTCACTCCAAGCTTATTCAGGTGCTAAGGTAAAGGCCTTGTGGATCTTGAAACTAATACTTAGTGCATATGAGCTAAGGCACAATATCATCGCCACTTGTAAAAACCTGTACGGGTGGGGGGTCACTGAATGGCCCCTCTTTACTTTATTCTATAGATTTTCGCTTTGATTATTACTAGATCTTTATTCAATTTCGACGCCGTGCGAATATCACACTAGGTGACGCTTTGATACATTATAAAGTGCATATGGAAATATATCTTTAAAAAATGCCCTCGAATTGTATTCTTATCTCCATACAACCTTTCCATTCACATTTTGATATTATTGTTTATGTAATCACTTGAATCCTTTTCCAAAACTACTGTGTTGCTATATGTCATCGCACTCGCCTAAGCCTTTTTGACAAATTAGTTTTAGAATTATCGAAAAATCCATATGGACTCCTATCGACTTCGTGAACACAACTATTTCTTAAGTAAATTGATTATGACTCCGTTGGTTATAGCATGTGAGTCACACACAAGATATTTGAAATATCATCAATATTCCAGTTAGTTCTTTCAATCACTGTTGAAGTGATCTACATGATTACATAGAATATAAGTACTCTCGCCCAATATTTTACACCGAGTCTTTATAACAGGCAGAAACATGACTGTACAAGTTTTGACTGCGTTATCTCTTTATGTTTACAGAGATTCGTTCATGAAAGCAAGAAGCCTACACAACGAGTTAAAAAAGACCACGGCAAAATTAGCCCAACTAGCAGACCAAAGGCTGAAAAAACTGGGAGAATATCTGCAGGTTAAAACCTTCGAAGAAGAAGCACATCAGGTGTGTGTAACTTGTATCATACCATACCGGATTCTGTGAATAGTTGTGGTTTTACAACACCTTATTTTAATTAACAGGTTTACTGACAAACACAGGTGTGTGTAACTTGTATCATACCATACCGGATTCTGTGAATAGTTGTGGTTTTACAACACCTTATTTTAATTAACAGGTTTACTGACAAACACAGGTGTGTGTAACTTGTATGATACCATACCGGGTTCTGTGAATAGTTGTGGTTTTACAACACCTTATTTTAATTAACAGGTTTACTGGCAAACACAACCCTGTACTCGTTAAACAAATAAAATTAATACTTAAGTTATTTTTAAAGAATAGCGATTTTAATTATTTGTTACTAATAATCTCAAGAAATTTACTGCTAAGTTGGTAAAAATCGAAACTGAGAAAAACGCGCCTGTTAACTATGCTTTGCATTAATCATGTTATAGTGTTAAACTTACGAAAACACTTGAATTAACTACACCGTTGTTAGTCGTGCTAATCTTATTGAGGCACCTGGATTGACGGCATTGAATGTTTGGCGTGCTGTAGTGCTAATCTTATTAATGTAGTGGACTGACAGCATTAAATATTTGTTGAACCGTAGTGCTAAAATTATTGAAGTAATGGACTGGCAGTATTGAATGTTTGTTGTGCTGTAGTGCTATCCTTATTGAAGTAGTTTTACACTGTTTAGTGAAATACCAAATCAACATTCACCGACAAAAATCATCTTACCTCGGAACACTGTGGAAATAGACGAACAACTTGGCTAACTCTGATGGTGTAACTTTAAGTTCTCTAAACACTGAACAGTTTATCATCATTACGCTTCTTCCGTCGACATCACGAGATCCTACAGAAAACAAAGATATAACTCAGCAATTTGCTCAGAACTCTGTAAAACTACAAGCCTTACTTATGCGTTAAATTACTGGATGGAACCTATAGAAGTAACGATCAACCAGTGGTTGCAT